TTGTAAATCTATCCCGCTTGTACCTACATATGTGAATTTTTCCTGTAAATATTAGTATAATAGTTTCGTGTATTCATAATTATTCTGTATATACATTTCATTTTTTTCTCTTGCTTTCGTTATTTTCCTATCTTTTTTGTCTTAATTTTCATCTCTTTTTTTTTATCAATTATAGAGACTAAAATTGAAAAAATCGCAAATTTTTGTATTTTACAGATTTACAGAATTTTTTCATAAAATTATTGAGTATGGAATTGGCCATTTCTGTGAGAATATCGAATTCCGTTAAGATGATAAATCTTTGAATTTAATGTCTTTTTAAAACTTTTTTCTCTTCTTAGACTGAATGTGTATAGCAAAAAATGGCAAATCAAATATAACGAATAATGTGATTTTTTGCGATGTTTAATATCTATAATATAAAAATACATCATCGCATGCGTACATATATTAATATTTTTTACAAGCGATCGTATGTAGGATTTTTTCAATTCTGAACTAATGACCATAGAGGAGTTCGGTCAATTTTTGTTATAAAGCTAATATAAACGAATCCTCGTTTTGAGTATTGTTTCATATTTTCTCAAAATTTATATCAAATTTCGTGGAAGAATCTCAAATATACTTATCCAATTATATATATATAATTACATAATTATATATATATATATATATATATATATATAATTAAAAAAATATATACATACTACTACTATTATAGTAGTACGTATATACATGCATACTCACGGGTAAATATGTATGTACGATTTACTTACATACGCGGAATATTTTAAGTAATCATATAGAAATTTCATACATTGCTAATAAAAATGTTTAAGATATCTAATAAAGTTATATTGTATATTCAGTAACACGTGTGCTATTTATGCTAATATGTAAATGCCTGTTAAGTCCTTTTTATGTTATGCTATTTCTTATTATATTTATGTGCATAGAGTATTATATGAGCTATTAAATTTCGTGTTTTATGCATTCAAATATCTTTATGTTTTTTTCTTGTAATTAAACAAATATTTGCTTATTTTGATTTGGTATTAAATGCTTTAAATAAAAAGTAAGAAAAAAATAAAACAATTTTCAGATCTTATTTTCTTGAAGATTTAAATATTCAAATGCCATTAAATTGCACTCTATTAGTCATATAATTTTTACAGTGCAAATATTTATTATAAAATCTTGTTTTAAAGTACATAACATATTGATGAATTCTTATTCTTTTATTATGTATATGAAGTTCCTAAAGTTTTGTTTTTTCCCGATTTAAATATATATTTAATAAAATTACTTAGCAAATATTTAAAATATTTAAAAATAAATATCTTTAAATTTTAGAATAAAGCAACCAATTCATGAAAAAAATAAATGCATTTTTTGATTAATTTTATTTATATGCTATGTATCAAGAATGAACAATAGTTATTTTATATATTTTAGTTACACAGAATGAGTTATTAATCAATATTATTACTGATAATACTCTTTTTTAAATATAGACAAAGACAATTTTTAGCTTTGATATATTTATTATATTTGTAATTTTAAAATGCCAGAGTATGTGTGTATCGAAGTTTGTAACAATACTGTACATATTGACACATAATTAGTCTATATTTTGTTACATTAAACATTTTTTTTAATTGCATTGAAATTAAAGCACTAGTTTGATAATTCATCATCAAAATATTGCAATTAATGGATTCCTTATAAAATGGCTATATCAAAATAAAACATCACAGATAAAGTTCAAAATCCACTCTTGCAGCATTATAAAATTGATTATTTTGACCTCTTCTTCGTACCCAAGCCCCGCTTTTGAAATAACCTTCCTTTGCCCATGCATGCATTTGTTCACTTGTATGTGGACCATGAATTTCTGCATTTTCATCTTGTGACCATTTTAATTCCCACATTATTTCTTCTTCTTTATGTTCATTTTCAGAATTATCAATTTCATTAACATTACCTAAAAATAAAATAAAGATATATATATATATATATAAGCAACAAATAATTTACAATAATATAATATAGTATAATAAAAAATATAATTACTTTCATTTCCATCCAATTTTGCTTTTTCTTTTACATCAAAGTCATCAGCATACATATCTAACTCTGCTTCTTGTTTAGAAGGATGAGCATGTTTTTCTCCTATCTCAACCTATAAAAATTACAATAATAAATATATTAAAAATTTATTATTTTAATTATTATTCTTTTCGTTTTTTATTATTTATTATTCATAAAGCAAATACTTTTTTTTAATATGTTCATAACTTTCTTGATATATATCCATATTTCCAGTACGAGTTAACAATTCATTTGCCAATTCTGTTAATTTTGTTATACTAATAGAATTTTGATCATCTTCGATTGATTTCTTTTCCTGTTTTCTTTTCCATCTTTCTGCAGTAGTTAATTTCTTTTTTCCTTTCCCTATAAATATATTAATAATGAAAAATATATTCTTTCAAATAAAATTTAATTAATTAAAAATAATTACCAAGCCTGCACAAAGCCTTAGAAACAGTTTCTCCAGGTTGTAAGTATTCCAATATTTGTTTATAAATCTGAGTTGGATTGAACATAATATCTGGACCTTCATCCTCACTATCGCTATCTGCCAGTCCATGAGTTTTACCGCTTTCACTTTTCTTCTTTACACTTGCTGTAGAACTCGGTTTGATCTATCAAGATTATGCCTTAGTAATGTTTTGCATCACTGAGTAAACAAGGCAGGTTTACAGATAATTCTATTTGTCTGCTGTATGAAAACATATTCTGATATTTCAATATGCAAAAGTCCAAGAGCAAAGAAAAATTATAAACATTAAAAGAAAATTACATTTTATTTTAAATTATAGGACATCAGAGATTAATTACTAATAAATTCATATTATATTATAATTAAATAAAAATTAATTTTAGTTATTATTTTAATTTATTAAAATTAAAATTATTTAATTAATAGATATTACAAACCTGCATCCAATCAATGTTGTCTAACCAATTATCTCTAATTTCTTTTTCTTTATTCCAAAGATAATGACCCTGTTTATCAAAATGTCCTTCTTCTAATTCTTCCTTCATGTTGAATGCTGTAAATCCTACATTTGTTTCTGAAGCACTTGGTCCATCTTCTGCACCTAATAATTAAATAAAATAGATGTTCAATATCACATTGAATAGTTTTTTTATATTTTTACATACCTTCAATTTCATCGTCACTCATTATATTATAATTATCTTCGTTAGCATCATCATCTTCTTCATCTGAATCTAATGAATTTTTTACTGGTGATTTACCAATATTATTGTCTTCTAATTCATCAAATTTACGTTTATACATTATTATATTTAATAAGTAACCAATTAATAATAAAAGTTATCTGTTTATTTTAAGTTATTGTAATAATTTATTGTTAAATTTTTTTTAATATATTCTCACACGATCAGTACAATATCTTTTTTAATGTTATTTTATTTCTTCTTATTTAGTTTTCAATTATTATTATATTGTGCTTTTAGATTATTTATAACAAACAAATTTTTAGAAAAACATATTTTAAATAATAAAATTATTTATAAAACTTTCACGTACGTTTAAATTAGGTTAGATTTCGAATAGAGAAAACTGCTATTACAAAGCGTCACCTAGTTGAACTAAACAGTATTAAAATATATATGGCTGAATATATATAATTTGAATATATTATGTTTTTGTATAATAGAATTCAAATATTTCACTTTTTATTAATTCAGTTAAATTAATTTCATAAATTTAAAAAAACATAATGTATCATTAAAAATAAATACAAATTAAAAACTATTTCTAATAGAATATTAAAAAAATTTAAATATGTATTCAAATTATGATAAATAAACATATAAATATAAAATAATTTATATTTCAGAAAATAAAAATTTTAATGTATTACATATTTTAATTGAATCATTTATTTAGAAAATTAAAATTATAATTACAAATTAGATATAGAATAGAATATATTTCGTACTTCGTTTGTGGTTATATATCTATATACATATAAGAAATATAGATAAGAAGAGCAATAATTCGAAGGATAGATTAAAAATTATAAAATCAGTGTCATCTCTAAAATGCTGTAAAAACCAATATAGATAAAGAGAGCAAATAATAGGAAAAGGATAAAAACATAAGAATTGATTGGTAATACCATTTCTTGAATACTAAAAATATTTCTTTGAATGAATAAGATAAATTAGTAATTAAGAATCAGTGTCATCTATTTTTAGAAAAATGTCTTTAGTATTCAAAAAAATGGTATTGATTAATTCTTAACCTGTTTTATCAATGTTTTTGAAATAATTTCTAACATTAAGAAAATGGCACTGATTTTCAATTTATATTTTATTTTATTTTGCTTTTAAAAAGATGTCTTTAATACTTGAAAAATATTAATTTTTATTCTATATCTAAAAAATCTATATCTATCTTTTTTGTATTATTTATTTCCGTGATTTATATTAGTTTCATTTAAATATTCTGAAGATGGCTCTGATTCCCATATTTTTATCCTATTCTTGTCCTTTTCTATTTGCTTTTCTTGTCTATGCTTAATGTGCAAAATTTATGTACTGAATTCTGATATTTAAGTAATTTGTTTTCTTTGCCTAAACTATTAAAAAATTTTAATATAATCTATTTGATTTAATTTGACAATTCTAATTACAGTATATATATATATATATATACTTATTTGCTTACTTAGATATATTAATTAATATATAGTGTATATAATTAATATAATTAATATAGATATATTAATTAATATAGAATATATAGTAAATAGTGTTCAGCATATATTGATTATTATGAAGTGCAAGTTATTGGTAAGATTTATAAATAAATGCAATTTTTTTTTATATGCGAAATAGCTATAAAAATGTTTTACATTTATTATCTTGATCATATGATTAGAAATATTTATAAAATTTTAGGCGATTAATAAATTTTTATTAATGATATATATTATATAAAATAATTAAGTAAAATGTGTAATAAAAATATGTATTATTATGTACTTAATGTCTATTTTCTTTCACCATTATTAAGAAAACAGTAAGTACAAATTTTTAATACAAATCAAATTAAACTCTTGTTTTTATCAATATATTCATTAATGATTGTTATTGAGTAATGTATATTAATAAATGAGAAATTGTTATATTTTAAATTTGTTTAAAAACACCAAATATAATATTTATCTCAAAATGTTTACAATTTAAATTTTCTAAAAAAGAATTATGTTCATTTTTATATCTATTTATGAAAATTTATGTGATGTAATTATGTGCAATTATAAATTTGAGATAGTTATGAAATAAATAATGTTACTATATAATAAAATAATGTTGCTATATAATAGGTTATTAATATAAATCTTCCAAGCAGGCCAAAGTTATTTTGGGTATACATTGAAGGTTGACTGCCAACTTCAGAAATTCAGATCTACTTCTTCAATTTAATATATAAAAACGATTTTGATTAAATTTATTTAAAAATGGACTCAGATTCTACAGAAATGGTGAAAGAAATCAAAGATAAGGTAATATTACATTGGAATTGTCGAGGTCTTGTGGAATTTCCTGAAGCGATAAGAATCTATGGAAGCCATATTCAAGAAATATATTTAAAATGGAATAAAATTACTACCTTACCTTCATGGATTGTAGAACTTTTTAATGTTACTAATTTGTATGTTTATGGAAATTTGATAAAGGAAGTACCTCCAGAACTTTGTCAAATGAATCAATTAACAGTTCTTGATTTGAGTGCTAATAAATTAGAGCAAATATCCCCTTATATAGGAAATTTAATAAGCTTAAAATCTTTATTACTAAATGAAAATTTTATAGATAAATTACCAAATGGTAAGTTTTTAAAGAAAAATAAAAAAAATTTTAGAAGTTTATATAATTTAATGTAAACTTTTATGTAATTTTTATAGAAATGAATCAAATGCATAATTTAGAAATTTTGTCTATTTCTGGAAATAAATTTGTTGCACTGCCAGAATGGATTGGTTCCTTACCTAAATTAAAAGAATTAAATGCAGATAATAATTACCTTAAAGAACTCCCAAATAGATTAACTTTATCTCCACAGCTGTCAATTATTTCTGTATGTTCTAACAGGTTGTTATATAAATAATCATTGTACTTGTTTAAATTAATTTATTATTAGACTTTTGTTAACATTTTAAATGCTTTCATTTTATGCAGAATGATTTTTATATAGGCTAAGATATTTACCATTAAATGGATTTGTATCTTCTCCTTGCATTAAATTTGATGCAAATATATATTTAAATTATTTATCTTATCCACTTCTTTATCAACTAACATCTCAAGTTCAATATTCATTTATTCAAGATCAAAGAAATATTTTGGCTTATGGGTATGTACATACATATTTTATAGTGTATGATATATATAATTTAAAACAAAAAATAATTATTATAAAAATTTAATGAAATTATTTAAAGCAATTTTTAAACATTTTTTTATTGCCATTGAATTTATAAATATATATATATATATATATATATGCATAATCACAGATGCTTTGCAACATGTTATGAAAATACTACATTACATACACATATTAAATTAAAAATAAAAATAAATGAAAAGGATACTGACTTTATAATAGAATTACCACGTCAGCTTTTAAAAGTTCATAATATACTTGAAAATACAGTTATTTCTTTATGGGAATTATCTTTGAGAAAAGTTTATACCGAAAGGTATTTACTTACTTTTTTTAGGATTTATATTATTTTTAATATTATAAATATACATTATCTGATATTGAATTTTATTTAAGGTATAAACATACACTTAATATTTCTGTATCACCTATAAGCATAAATGTTCAATATGAACCAATTCAAATAAAAAATTGTCAGAAACTTGATTTTAATGTTTCATGTAACTTATTAATGAATGGTCCAATAAGTATTTGTGTAAATTTTCAATGTCAACAACCAATTTTTACAGAAGCTTGGATTATTATTGGTATGAATTATTATGGAGAAGCTATAACAACAGTTGCATTATGTTGCTGTAAAAGGTAAGATAAATACTATATATAGATCTATGTATAATATCAGACTTAATTTTTCAGATGTGCAGCTGAATTTTCAAAACATTCTAATATGACAATTAGACATACTTGGTACTGCATAAATTAATAATATTATTTAGAAAATAATTCTGTAAATATATTACATTAAAAAAATAAGAATTTAATGTTTTCAAATCAGACTAAAAATCTTTGTATCATTTACAATATTTCTGAGTAATATTTAATATATATAAGTATTAAATCATTTACATATTATTTTATCTTACAATGGCTGGTATTTTAAATTTTTATCACAATATTCATATCACGATGCTATCTTTAAAATAATACATCTCTCTTTATAATTAGTTTAAAATTTTTTTACATATTAAGTAAATTTATTCTTTTTATAAAAAATTTTAACAATTATTTTTTATATAATTCTAAATTTAAGTTACAAGAAAATCTAAAGCTCTATCGCGATCAATATTACATTTTAAAAGTGCAACAGATGCCTTTTCTTCTGGAAACCCTAAATCTCTTAAAATACATAAATTTTCATAATACACTTTGGCTTTTTCTTGATTATATTCTGTAAGGGCAAGAGCTTTTTCAGCATCTTCTCCAGAAATTCCCATTTCTTCTAAAGCTTGAACAGCTAATAAGTATTCTACAATTTTTTTATTATCTTGACCACCTAAATCGCGTATAGCACGAGCAGCTCTCGATAAAGGAAATCCCATATCGCTCAAATGCCGAACCAATTTTTTATCTTCTTCTGTTAAATCCAATAATAGATTCATAAGAGCAACTTGATTTGTTACCATTATTTTTCTTGCTTTAATGTGTCATGACTACTAGTGTCAGGATTTCCTAAATTTGGCCAAGACTTCCAATCCTAATATACAAATAATTAATAAATAATTTAAAATTTAAAATCACATATTTAATAATATATATATTTGTATAAGAAAAATATTATTACTTCCATATGAGGTCTTTTTAAATCTCTTTGAAGTTCTTCTACAATTGCAGATACACTACGATGCTTCATATTTTCTTGTTCATTAATTTCATCCTGATCAGTTATTTCATTCTTGACATCATTTTTTTCTTGTATGTGAGATTTTGATTCATCATTAATTGTTAAATCATTTAACAAATTTTCTAATTTTGCTGATGGCATCCATTGAGATGTAGGCTGTAATACCTAAAATATAAAAAAGGAAATATTAAATCTATTATTTACTGCTTATGTTATGATGTAAGATACTTTATTAACCTGAGCAAGTTCTTCCATTTCATTAATTGTTTTTAATTCCAAATTGTCAAATGGACTGCTTGTATCATTATCAAAATCAGCAAAATCAAGACCATTTACTTTTATATGATTTTGAAGATCATTTGCAGGTGGAGATAAAGGCTGTGGAGTAAGAATTGTTGTTTCAGGCACAGGTGCATTTATAGGCTTTGTAATATCAGGCAAAGGAGGTGGTGGTGGAGGTGAAAATTCATTTTTTTGTTTCTTTCTTTTCTCATCTAATCGTGCATGCCGTGCTTTGCTATTTGCTTGTCTAACATTACGCCATTCTGTCATCTATAAATCAAATTATAGTTAATTTATTTCAATGAATATGGAAGTTTATATTTGAATTAAATATATTCTAATATTTTTTTTATATTAAGATGAATTAATTTACATGCATTGTAAAATATAATTTATTTTCAATTTAATTTATATCTTTTACAAATTAAAGTACTACACAACCTTTTCAAGTACTGATTTTTCCAAATTGAAGTCATAATTTAATTTCGATACGTCTGGTAACTTATTATTATATGCAGCTGGTAAACATATTTTTCTTGGAGGTTTATAAGCTTCTGCAATTTTAACATGAACTCCATCCATATATGATGCAATTAAATCACATTGTGCTGATACCGAGGAACGAGTCATATTTTAATATTTATTATTTAAAAAAAATAATAAATTATCAAAATATATTTCAAGTCACTATGAACTAAACTTGTATCATAACCTCATGTCATTGTATTCCGTTTATATTTATATAATAGAACTACTTCTCATGATTAATACTGTATACTTCTAAAATATACATAGAAAATGACATATTTTTTATTATCAATAACTATTAAGTATATTGCTTTGTATTTGACAGCTTTTGATGATTTAAACTTCTAACCTTTAAAGTAGCCATATTGAATTTTCTAAATAAGTATAATCGATTGAAAAAAGAATCGATAAAGTATAAAAAAATTTAATTTTCCAAAAATAAAGTATATAATTTTAAAACTAAAATATGAAAATCTTTATTTTAATGAAACAATGATTATTTAAAAATTATTTATTTTTATTTATTAATAACAAGTAATAACATCACAATAAATGTCATTTGTTAAATTTAACAATAAAATCAATTCTTATATACTTTCTTAATTTTGAACTGTTATAAATTTTTAATTTTATTTATTATAATATAAATGTATAATCTACAACTATATATATCATATAGATTTTTTAATTTATTTTATACTGTAGATGAACAAAAAAAATAAATGATCTTATTATTCAGTATAATTTTTCATACATATATATATACATACATACATATTTATATAAAATATATATATGTAATATTATATATATATATATATGTAAATTGATTAATTGAGCTAAATAATTTTCCTACATATCTTTATCTTATAATAGATACTCTTTTATTTTTGTCTTCTACTTGATTAGTAGATTGAATTTTAATGTGACCTTTGTGTTTGAAATTATTGTCATCTTTTATATCATTTTGACTAGTTTTTGCATTTAATGCTTTCATATATGCAAGAAAAGATGTCCAAATTAAACTACAACAACTTACATAAACTACACGATTATGTTCTGGGATAAAAAAAAAGTTGACTGTTTGTAAAATAGGCCATACACAAACACCAATCTGAAATATAAATAATAATTAAAATTTTTTTTATTATTTGTAATGACTACATATTTTATATTAATCATATCAATCATAAATACTTACTTTATAAGTAGGCCAAAATTTATGTTTAACTTCTTCAATGCATTCAGTTATTGGTTTCATTTCAAGTAAGTTTATACCAAAAAAGAAGCAGCACATTGCAGTTGGAGTATATGTCACTTGTTCTACTAAAGCCTATAAAATAAATATAATTAACCATTAATATTATGATTGGCATATAGTAATTATTTAGTTAATTTTAATATACTTTGGTAATTGCAGACTTCAGGTCTGATTTTGGCCAAAAATATGAAGAGCACCTTAACCAACAATATAGTGTTGGAGCTACAAAAAACCCACCATATAAACTAAATCTTAAGGCTTGTAAGTAATTTAATTCATCATATCCTGCTAGTTTTTGTTGTATTAAACTTCCTGTCGGCCATATGACAGTATAAGAAGCCATTCCTCTTACAATTGGATATTTTTGCGATACTTCGCGAACTTTTATAAAAATAATACGCATTTTCACAGCGGTCACTGAAATAACAATTTTAATTATTAATAATATTATTATTAAACAATTTTAATTATAAATAATTATAAAATCGAAACGATAATTGTGTAAATTAAATGAAACTTTAAACCTGAATAATTAAATAAAAAATTAAAACTACTATTATTTAGAATGTATTTGTGTTAGCATATATACTACATCATTATGCAATTTATGTTCATATTAGTTTGTTCCGAAGAATTTTATAAATTTCATGTTTTCTTTGTCACGGCACGTGACAAATCAATTCATAATGAATGATGCTACGCGCCAAACAAAAGAGTGCGTATAATCAATGTTTCAGAAATAGAGAAGTTGTTTTTTCTATATATATAAATTTAAAAAAATGTAATAAAAATAATTGATAATTAAATTGTCATCAATTATATTATTTAATTTATTTTAAATATATTAACAAGCTATCGAAAATAATATCACTGAAATTTAGAATATAATAATAGTTTCATAAAACATATATGTATAAACTATTTTTTTATTTATTTTTTTCATGCATCATACCTTTCTTTGACAAGATGTCGAAAAGTTGATAATATTACCGCGGTTTATTTGAATGTGACGCGAGGAAACTCGCTGTACCGCGAATTTATGAAAAACAATAGTTCTGTAAGATTGACACATCTGGAAATGATTCACTACTACGGAAACATGCACATACTGGCAATCGTTGAGACCAAACTTATATTCGTCACGCGCAAAAGTACTAACGATGACGAAACTGGTCGATCCATTCTTATCTGTCCTTGGTAATTTCGTATCTTTCTAGTTCACTTTTCCGATACTTTGATATATCATGTAAATGATTACGCATCATCTTACGAATAAATGTCATCGGTAACGAAGTGTAATGGGTGCAATCAAAATTGTTGACCTCAATGGAATTAAAATGAAAAGTAAATATCTATGAAGAATAATTTTTAATTTAAAAGGGATATAAAAAAATTAGAAATAAAATATTAGTAAATTAAATTTTCTATAATTATATGGGATATATATAATAACATTTAAACATGACTTTATTATAAAGTAAATTATAGATTTTCTCTTGGTCTTTTTAGTTGTACCTTCTTTCCATTTAAATTTATTTTGCTTAAATAATTATAATATTCACAAACTTAATTAGTGTCATTGAATGCAGTAACAAACATGAAATAACATGAAAAGAGCATTATAAAAAGAGTACAAATATATGTACTCATTTACAACAAATCTTATAAAAGATTTTTTTAAAAAAATCAAATTTACACAATTATATATAATATACATTTTATATTATCTCAAATAATTTTTATCTAAACAAATATGTAAAAAAGATTACGCCTTTTAATAAAACATATACAAAGATTATAAAAACATGTTAATTTGAATCTAACATATTATTGATAAAATATTTACTTCTTTAATAGATTTTCTTTTTCATATATGCAATCATTATAAATAAAAACACAAATTGTAAGCATACAAAGATAAAGTTTGTAAATAAATTTAGAAATAAATCATATTGAGATTATATAGAATTTGTCAAAATGTTATCATTTAATTAAATAAAAATCCAACAAAAGTGATTGTTATAAACATTTTTTTCTATAATTTGTTTTCTTTTTTTTATTTTCTACTAATAAAAAAATACTGCATATATTCAATGATCATTATCCATATCCATTCTTTAAAATTATATACATACAACAGCCTTCA